AAAAAAAAAAAAAAAAAAAAAAAAAAAAGAATAATCAATCAGGTTGTTTCTCCAAGCCCTACCTAGCCCTTGCTTGCTTTCTGACACTCACTCCAGCCCAACTACCACTCGGCCACCACTGACCTTCACTCTGCTCCGGACTGTCACCAGGCCTCTGACACACACACACACACACACACACACACACACACACACACACACACACACACGTCGCCCCTAGATTATCCCTGGTTTCCAGAGCTGAGAGCTGGTGCAGGCTGAGGTTCAGAGTGGAAGTGGGGACGTCTGCTTTGCAGGCATGCATCATGATAAAAGTCAGAAACACAGCAAGCCGGGCCTGGAGAGAGGGCTTGCTGCTCCCACAGAGGACCTGGGTTCAGTTTCTTGCACCCATGTTGTACGGCTCACAACCACCCCTACCTCCAAATGCAGGAGAAGCTGACACCTTTTTTTCTGGCCTCTGAGGGCTCCTGTGTGCACATGCACACGCACGGACTCCCAAGTAAAAATAAAAATAAAATCTTTTAAAAATGTATAACTTCCCAGCATTCCAGAGGCAGAGCCAGGTGGATCTCTGTGAGTTCGAGGCCAGCCTGGTCTACAGAGTGAGATCCAGGACAGGTACCAAAACTACACAGAGAAACCCTGTCTAAAAAAAAAAAAAAAAAAAAAAAAGTATAACTATCTGGTCTTAAGAATAAATGTCCTCGTTTGAATCAGAGCCACGCTAGTATGTCCATGACTGAATGACTGCTACATGAAGTGAGAGATTTAGAAAAGCTCCCAGCTAAGAGGCCAGAGGTCTCAGAAGGGAAAACCCAGGAAGGGGACACCTGACAATCCTTGGGAAGACACGTGGTCTTTCTGGAATCCGTTCCTTTGGCAGGCACCTTGTCCTGCCTTCTGTGGTCTGGCATACAAACCACACAATGCAGACTCTCAGGTGTAGGAGGCAGTGTAGACACAGACCCAGCCAGTCTCAGGCCCCATCTCCAGTTCACAGGGACAGGTCTAAGAGGGGGACACACGGCCCAAGCAGCACCAGTTTCCTTCTCTGGGAGTCCATTAATCTGGTCCCAGGGAGAAAGCATAGCCAAGGTCTTCCTCTAGGATTGTGGTCCAGACGGAAGCTGGAAGCTTGGAGCTACCAGCCCCTACTTCAGATTTCCCATTTCAATAAATTCCTTTGTTGCTTAGACTAGATCAGATCTTAAAGGGAACCCCATCGCTTACGGATAGACATGTCCATCTGTCCACAGCTCACAGTCACACCTTCCACCCTGGGAAGAGAACCCTGTACTCTGAGAACTTGCACAGGCACCCTTCTATCCTAACTAACCACACCTTATTTATTGCTCTACGGATTGAATGTAAAAGGTCCCCTGGCCAGTCTTAGGTGCTTAGGTACTTAGTTCCTAGCCAACGGTTCCTAGCCAATGGTTCCAGCCTCAAGTGTTTGGAGGAGTGTGGAACTTCAGGAAGCAGGGCCTAGCTGCAGAAGTGGATCCCAGGGGGTGGGCCTTTGATGGTGATACCTGCTACCAATTCAGGCCCAAGCGCTCTCTTTTTCCAGATCCACCCCAGGAGTGAACAAGCCATCCTGAAAACCCCGCCTCTCAGCCACCACGCCCTCCCTGCCAGGAGGGACTCACGATGTAGCCAAGGATCACCTTGGACTTCTGATCTCAGCTCAGTGTTAGGCCTTAAGTAAGTTTTCTAAGAATCCACAGCTAGTAAGCGGCCCCCACGGCTGATGGCTTCTCTGCCCCAGTGCTCCGGGAAATACTCCCTGTTAACTGAGCACCATGCTCCCTGATCTTCATCAGCTATCTCATGTGCCGGGCGTGACTCCTTCCACACCGTGGTCAGCACTTAATTCACTTGCCACTATTCCCTTCACTTGCTTAGCCCCACCCGGGTAGAACCAGGGTACCTAGGTTCTAGTCCACACCTGCACTGATGAACCTCCATGGCCAAGTCTCTGATTCTTCTTCTTCTTCCTCCTTTTCCACTTTTTCATGTGTACATGGGTGGTATGTATGTGTGCACATGCATGTTTTGGAATGTGTCAGGGTGCACATATGTGCAGGATCGCTCAATCAAACCCAGAGCTCACGGATGCAGTCTTGCTAGCCAGCTAGCTCCAGGGTTCCCACATCTCTGCCTTCCAAGGCTGGAACTGCAGGCAGCTACCACCACCGCTACCCTGCATTGATGTGGTTTTCTGGGTCTCTGAACTCCAGGCCTCACGCTTCTGCAGCAAACGCTTTAACCTCCGAGCCGCCTCCCCAGGCTGGATTCCTTATGGTTGTTATTTATTATTCTATTTTTTATTTTTTAAGAACAGGGTCAGGATTAGAGAGAACACTATATTCCCGTTACGTTCTACTGTACTGATTCATCGAAGTCAGACAGCGACCGAGGTAGAAGAGAGGACACAGGTCCCCATGTGACTGCACACAGCATCAGCCCACAGAGAGCCAGAGGCGCCGGGAGATGAGGCCGGGTCTCCACAGCATTAGTCATTGTCTGCTTCTACTCCCAGGAGCCCCGAGGGACGAGGGACTGCGGGATGATGAAAGGCTGAGTGGTGATGTCGGAGGACAAAGTGGGAGATCCCCGGGTCTCCAGTGAGTAGGGAGCCAGGTGGCAGGACATGAATCCAAGGCTCAGGGGGTCTGGGATCCGGCTCTAGTCCTGGCTGTCAAAGCAAACGATCATAAAGCAGTGTGGTCTTTGACAAGTTACTTTAATTCTCTAATCTTTAATTTCCACATCTAAAGTAATTAAGAGGTGTGTGGGTGGATGAGGGGATCCAACCAGTGTATACAAAGAAATGTGCATGCTGCGGAGTGGTAGCAGACACTTGTAATCCAGCACGTGGGAGACGTAGATAAGAGGGTCAGGAGAAGCCAGCCTTGACAACATAGTAAGTCTGAGGATAGCCTGGGCTATGTGAGATCCTGTCTCCAAAACAAACAAGCAAAAACAGGGAGGGATAGCCTGGGCTGGTGAAATAGCACAGTCAGTGCTTGCCTTTGCAGTATGGGGACCTGAGTTTGATCCCCAGAAACCATGTCATAAATAGATAAGGCCAGGTGTAATGGCAGGCTTGTATCCCAGTGCTGAGGAAGTGGAAACAGGCAGACCCTGGGACTCACTGCCATCCAGTTTAGCTTACATGGCCAGTGCTAGGCTAGTGAGAGGCTCCAGCTAAAACCAAAACCTGTCTTGACATTGTCCTCTGGCTTCTACACACACACACACACACACACACACACACACACACACACACACACACACACACCCTGAGTAAAATTAAGTAAATAGCCAGGCATGGTGATGCCCCTCCTTAGGCCCAGCACTTTGCTCAGAGGCTGGGGCACTCACTCTGTGAGTGTGT